AATGCAAAAGTCTAATTGGTAGAAATGAAAAAAAATTTGCTATGCAAGCAGTTTCCAAATCCTATGGGAATGAAACATGGCTGAATCTGTTGTTGAGCGAGCTCAGCGTTGGGTCAGCTCAATTTGCAATTGCGTTATTACAAGCCGACTCTGCGTTCGCGATCAACATAACGGCCTAAACGGTCTATTTGTAGGGCACAAACCGTGGATTCCATGGTATTAGAGCTTCGTGTCCATTGACGGCCAGTGGTTTAATAATGTGACCGCAATTGGGCCGCACGTCACCGAGCCCGGCACCTGTCAACTTCGGTAACACGTGTCATCGATCACATGCCGAACCAATCCAACTTTTCCTCGAAATTCTTGGAAAAACGGAAGTAATTCGAAAGAGTCAATAAATATATTGTATTAGGCGTCTATAGGGGTTCCACTTTTCAGCTCAGTTGTACTTATAGAACAAGTCAAAAGATATAACATTTAGAAAAAAAAGTATGATAAAACAAACGTAATCATTTGATTTTCAAAATGTACAGAAGATCAATGTCAGAGATATTACACATAAAGAAAAATATATAGTCTAATCTTGTTTTTTATTTAAGAAGAAAATTAATCTCGTGCATGGAAATAATTGAAGGGATGAAATTTCTTTGGAGATGATTTTTCGAAAGAGAATAAAACCTTTAGAATTGTATATTGTTGGTTGCATATCTTTTATTGAGAAAGGCCGAGCAATAATTTGAAATTTTGTCGCGGCTACATTTGTTACAGTCAACCGTACGAACGATGCAATTTGTAAAAGGGATGGTTGTAACGACACGGAAACACCGTTACACGTTGTTTTCGCGTCGTTTCCATGAGATTTAATGAACGAGATGAACGATATAAACCTTCGAAACCCCCGCCCCCTAGCCGGTAATGATAACAACGTGGTTACAGCGATGAAATTGAGCTTATCGATTTTGGCAGAATTTAATGCGTGTAATTTACAGGATCGACCGATAAGCTACCCGCGATATATCGAAGACTACTACCTTCATCGATGATCGTTGCATGAATATTTCTAATTAATGTAATTATTGACCAATTTAAAGGGTTGCAATTAATATTCCAATTATTTAACAATGCTTAATTTTAATACAGAAGGAGCTAGTATAACTAATATACAATATTAAAATATTAAAAGATGAGATTTTTAAAGATAGAAATTATTGAAAATTATACTTTTCAAAATACATATCATAATTAATATAATCTGGGTTATCTAGATTATGCTTATAATTTAAATAAACGTATTTGATACAAATGGTGTAGGCGTCAGTAGTGTAGCTAATGTCTACCCGTCTTTATACGTATTCAGATCTACATATTTCGTGCAAGTTAGTTCTGCTAATATTGTAAGCCCACCGTGAATCGGAGCCTCGCAAGCGTTAATTGCTTCCGTAATTAGTAACTGCCTGCGGGAATGGTAGTGAAATCTAGCATGAAAGAACGAATAAATCTAATTAAATATGAAAAGTTTCCTTATTACAGTTTTGAATGAAAACTTCAATACTTATCTAGAAATATCATTCAAATGTTAAGATATAATCTTGTTAAATTTTTAAAGAGCTACAGATGGCAAATTATAATTTATCCTTAATCTTCGACGACCTGAATTTTCCTTGACACATTGTTTCTTTTAACAAAGAGTCAGCCATTTCGTATCAAGAATATCGATGCAGCATTTATGTAGAAATTTTCAGTAAACTTTTAACTTTAATTTGCAATACCATGAGTGATATTCTGAGATACTTTTATGTCATGAAATCTGAGAAATCTCGTGAATCGAGCTGATCAACTCGGTGTAAATGGCAAGTTAAACATGGGAATTGATAAAAACGGTTGGTTATCCAACAATGCAAAAGAGTTGCCGTGCAACATATAAAACAAGCCACTTTTTTTCACGGCAATTTCGCGCCGCGCCGGAATACCGACGGCAATAATTTTTCTCGCTTTCCACGTAAACCGAGCGAACACTGGCCAGGCAAAGTATAGAACGCATGCATGGCAACGGAGCATTGGCAATAATAACGTGTTCTTTATTGGGCAGGTAGAGTACGCCGGACGATATCGCAATTTTCCACTATACGAAACACAGTTAATTTTTGCCGGTATCTGGAAATTCGAGAGCATTGATGCGACTGTACAACAGGTAATGTTTTTACGTGCGACGTATGGCCGGCTGATGCACATCGACCCGGGACATGATTCACCCTTTCGAACAATTAACACACCCACCCCTTTGAATAGAGGTTCGTTTTTATTTCGTCAGCTTTTTGTAGTAACGCTGACCGCGGTTTCGAGCTTTTATATTCATGAAATGAGATCGAGTGACTGATTTCGTTAATTTGACGGCACAAAAATACTGTAAAATGGTACTTATACCTACTATATCAATTTGAAATAAAAAAGTTTCAAAGTTTTAAAAAATTGTCCCTCGTTATTTTTGCTGTGGGATTTTGACAAATTGATATTTTTTTTTTAAGACAAAAGCACGTATTTTAGCGAATTAAATTTATAGCTTCTTAAGAAACCTCAAGTCATTTAGTTCAATTTTAAATAGGGTATTCTGTTTTAAACGGTGTCCATTTATTTTCATCCCCAACTGTAGTGTTAAGTTGACGCATAAAAAGTTTAGCTCAATTTCATGACAAAAAAATATTGCAAAATAGCAATTATTCTATATCAATTTTAAGCTCAAAGTTTAAAGAAAATTACTATATTCACGCATCTTTTATTAATATTATTGATACAATGTGTATTTCAGTTTCAATTCTATAGATGTATAAAATTGATGAAAAGTTGTTGTTACAATGTTTTTACAGTCACATTTTTTACATTTTTGAATCTCAAAGTTTTCCGTGCATTCACTATTTCTCCATTTGTACGTAAAATGGAACTCATTTCGAGCAGAACAACCAACGTAATCGATTTATCAAAATCGATTTTGCCGAAAACAAAGTGCACGAGGAACTTCGTTTCCGTATTGTTTAGTGTGTTTTCGCTTTCCTGACACAGGTTTAGTAAATCAAAAACCATCATATTTACTAAGTTGCAAACTTTCTGTTGATCAAAAGGATCTTAAAACTTTCCATCAGATCATCAGAATTAATTAACAGTTCCTAGGCCCAAAATGCAATTCTGTATAAAATCATATGTCCACCTAAAATTTTGAGTGTTTATTTTTTTATTTTGGAGTAGTAATATTCTAATTTAATTATTTTATCGTAAGGATGATAATGTGTACCTTGTACACTCGCGATCAAATCAGGTTTCTACACGGAAAAAGGCAGTATAGGGGAAGTAGGAATTCTCAAAATCTTAATCTTGACGATTCAGTAAAAGTTGGATCCATTGGATAACTACCCGGTAACCATTTCCATCATGTAAGGCAGGGCTCGGATCTACGGATGTATATGGGGCTCTATCCGCTAAATTGTCATTTTCCCCGAGGATGTCTACGGAGAAGGGCGGGAACCTGGGGCATTACCATTTTCCACGAAGAAATCTTATTTAATCGCGAGCATATCATACATCTTTTTTTAGGTATCCTGTATACCCAATTAAGTACCTTTAATATTGATTAGCGATATTCATTTAAGCAGGTGCCGCTCGTTGTGGCTATTTAGCATTTCCAATTAAAATCACTTTATCCGTGAAAATCCGCTTCATCGTCGATAAAACGACGAATTTTAACATTTGCCCGTAGATTATAATTATTTCCATTTTATGGGAGCCACCGTGTTCATGGTGCTTGTTTTCATTTCACCATCAGGAGGATAATTAAACACGGATTATCCGGAGTGCATTTAAGCACTAATTGGGCCGGAAAGAAGACAGTTATTATAGAGGACAATATTTCACGATAACGAAGCCACGGAAACAGGCCACCGGAAACGAACGATCGATGAACATTCTCAACAACGCCCCTTTTTCTCGTTCCTTCGGCCGTACGCCGGCTGTTTCCGGGTTTTCTCGTTAAGTTTAAGTAAGGTGCAACAAGTGTTGGTCGGGATTACGTCTTGCGGCGAACGAACGAACGAACGAGATCATCGTGCCAGGATAATTCTTCGCGGTCTTAATTAATTAACGACATTGATTGCGTGCTTTTACAAGCTACTTCTTTTTGAACCGAGTGTATTGAACGTGCTTGATTGTATGGTAGATTAATTGCGGCTTTAGATTTTCTCGTTTAAACTGAATGAAGAGAAATTAACACGTTGACTGCTGTGAAGATTATTGAATTCAATTCAGTGAAATAATTATTATCATGTTCAAATTTTCTTTAATTATACCATCAAAAGGTAGTTATCGATTACAAAATAAAAGAATAGGTACACCGTGGATTTTAATTCATTTTTCTCTACAATTTCTCTACAAATTAATAATATTAAATTGGCTAATTTGAAAATCTAGAAAATTTCGTTGATGACCCACAGTATTGAAATATGTAGTGTGCAGGGTACTTTACTATTTCCTCTGGTTCAAATAAAAACCATTTCAGTTCACTACTTTGACCCAAACGAAGTTTCTCAAACATGATTAACAAAAAGCAGAAGCTTTGTCTTACCGGCAACACCTATTTTCTAGCTCCTTTTTACTCTGTTCTCAAAGAACGAAAAACAGCTTTTACTTTAGGATAATTCATTATTGTTTACAAGGGTTGTACAGGTCAGACAGTTTTCAGTGTCCTCATCAAGTCTGACAGTGGTTTAAAATGTTACATTTAATATAACATTATCTGATATACTTTTTTCTTTTATCAAAAGCAAGCGAGTTGTTCAGGTGACCTGTTTCAAATGTCTCGCCCTGTATATAAAATAAAAAAGTTACCCCTGGAAGTAACAATCAGTATATGTCATTCGTCGATGATTGATTGAATAATACAAAAATTGTAGAAAGTAAATACTGTTCGTGAGTGATTCTTGTATTCAACGAGTACCGTTTCTTTTGTTTTCCAGGCAGACCTGTCCTGCAGGAACACGAAGCAAAGCGTGGGTGCAATTTATACCCGCACCAACTTCGTGACATTGAAATACGTCACCGACTCCTGGGGCACCATCACGAACGGCTTCCGCCTCGTTATCACAGCCGTCAAGGATCCTAGTGAGTACATTCGTCCACGTGATAATTCTTCGTTTCTTTATGCCTCGTGTTCTCTAACACGTACGAGTTTTGCCTATCTGATTCGCGGGGGAAGTTTGAGGAAAACTTGGTCCTGTTCGTTCTGCATCTTATCGTGGAAAATATATGAGAATTGATTAAATTTACATAATTATTGCATATAAAGTATGCATTATTTGAATAAGAGCGGTATACAATTAACGATGCAAAATAATTTATATCAAATTATTAAGATAAGTTTTAGAAAGAAATAATTTAAAGAAATTAAGGTGCTTTTCTTTGATTTTTTTTCTTTTTTCTTTTTAAATAACAAATATGAGTCAGATAAAGTGTTACAAAGTATTATCTGGGAAACTATAGCAGCTATCGACCTAATTCCTTTTCTAAATTAATAAATTGAAATAATTTTCCTAAAATATCTACCATGGGGTCAAAATAAACTGACGTCATCTGTTTTAAATGACATTATACTAGTTTTTTTTTTATTTAAATAACTTTTATCAAATATTTGCCGAGCTTTTGGAGAAGAAATCGCGAAGCGTATCTGTCCAAACGAAATATCAGTCTCGAGCTGAAGCAAATCCCGTTAAGCCACTACTATCGGTTATCCTTCACGTAAAGCTTCTTTTTCGATGTCTATCAAGCATTTCATTAATGGGGTAATTCGTCGGATGCCAACCAAAGACCAAAGTTTCCAAACCATCCCTTCTGAAATTCAAAGCGAACTGTTCGCCAAAAAGAAGGAATCGCCTGAAAAAATGATTAACAATCTCCATCCGTGAATTTTATTCCATTTTGCATGGAAATGAAGCATGACCCGTGGAATATCGGCAAACTTCGTCCGAACTGTTTGCTCGTCAGTTATGCTTCACTTCGAACTTGGTTGCTAGCTTTTGAAACCGTAATATAGCACTCCATTTTACACCGAACCTTCAACAGATCTCTCCCCGTTGTTCTTTTCACCCCGGGCTCATAGCTATTTTTTCGAATGTATTCAGTTTCAGAATGATTCATGCCGAATACGAAAGGATCTAGTTTCTACTATGCTCATTTTTTTTTCTCTTTGCAATTCTTTTTTCCATTCGAACGGAAAAGGAAATCGAGATTCGGCGAAGCTGTCGATGCGGCTGAACGCAGCTTTCTGGTTTCCGAATGATTGATGTCGAATACAAAAGCATCCCCTTCTATAGTTTTCGGGTAGAAAGTTGACGTAGAAATGAAAAATTGAAGATTCTTCGCAATTTTTCTCTATGATAAAGCCTGGATTTTTAATAACCATAATCAATAATTGTCTGTATTTTACCTTTGTTAATATAGAAATTATAGAAACAATAGTTTATTTTAATTATATTTCAGATGATATTAGAATTTCCAACAGCGTTCCTCGTTTACATTATTCTCATTTATAACGTTATCTTGCGGCTCATATAAATTGCTTCATCAGAATTTAACGAGATATCTTTTGTTAGCATCTCGAAAGAAAATTAACGAGGGGTGTAGCGAAATTGTGGCAAAATTTTTCTAAAGCTCACGGGGCCACATTTTACGGATAATTAACCTCTCTGCCTTGTTATTACGTGTACGTTGGTGATACTGGTACTTTTGTTATAATGTACATACTAAACGGGTCACCGGTTACGTGACCATTATAAATCACGTCTGGTAGAAAAAAATTGTGCTGTCGTACAAAGTTGCGAGATACGATCTATTCTTGAGATAAAATATATTTAAGGTAAAGGTGACTGTATAATACCTAGTGTCCGCGAGTCATGATTTAGTATTTACATTTTATAAATTGGGAGATTTATATCCGTGCTTAAAATTGTTTCTAATCTTATCTTTCATTGCAATTAGTAGTACGTCATTTATTTCAGATTTTACATTAATCATAAAATAGTAGGTATCAGTGCAGCACCATTCTTTTCGAATTAATCAGTAATCAAAGGATTAAAATGCTAAGTATTAATCTGATAGCATTAATTTCAGATTATTCATAGAACAGGTGGTATCAGTATAATACCGTTTATTTCAAATTAACATAGTGACTGTCACGCTGAAGCTATTAAAAATGTCAATAATTAATGTTTTCTACTTTTAAAAAAATCTTAAAGGAAAGGATGGTTTTATGGCCTTTCAATTTGAGGAGAGGCATATTTCTTCTTAAAGTCTAAATCATAATTTAAATTGCTTTAAAATTTGCTTGAAATATAAGTAAAAGAAAGAAAAATTTAATAGAATTTGGATGAGGTAAAATAACTGTTTTATTTTGTACACATTTAAAATCATTTATGATCCCAAAATCCTTGTTTGATGGATATTTTATAAGTGTTTCCATTCATTATCAAGGTTGGCACACGAATGTTCTGCAACACTCGAGTATACACGTTCTTCATTATCCACCGTCATCATTAATTCCTCGCGTATCCTCCTTGATAACCCTGAGAGATCCTCGAAATTGTACGTTTGCATCGTCTCAGGAAATTCCCTTTAACATTAGGATTAAGGCAACGAAACCGAAACTCATAGATAATCCTCTCGGGGGTTTAGGGTCAATTAAGTCGAAGGGTTTCCCTTGGAATCCTTAGAACCGCTGTTCAGGATTCACCGTATCGAAATGACGGCTCCTCGTTCCACCTTCTTTCGTTGAAGTGGATCGCCAAAGATACGTTTGCAGAATCAGCCGAGCATTCGAAGATATCCGTTGAGAGTAGCCCGTAATTTGATCCCGGAACGAGATACAGGATCCGTGTATCCTTTAATGGATCTCGAAAGAATTCCATGATCTAACTGTTAGCTGTAGTTTATGCTGTATAAAACAGCGGATGAAGCATGACTGCTAGTATCCTCCAGAGATCGTTGGGAATTGCTTTCTCTCGCGGTGTTCGAGATGGTTGCACTGAGAATTTCGTTTCATCGAATATATTTCCTTCTCACAATGGCAATATTTCCTTTTTTTTTTTAAAGATTGATTGCTACTGTGAAAATTGCCATACGTGATAAGTGTGAGCGACTTCTTTCACTCTTCAGTGATTTCACAACTTTCTTGAATTTTGAACCTTGGTATGGATAGATCTACTTAAGTAGACTCATTATTTCTGAAAGTGTACTACTGAGAAATGGTACAAGTGTAATTGTCCAATAGGGGACCATAAAAATTTGTTTCATTCCATATTAAATCTAATTTTCTATATAACATTCTCTGAAATTTTCTCAAATATTTTGTTATTTATTTAAAAAGGGAATAAGGCTTTTAAATTTCTTAATAAGGGGTTAGCTAGCCCTTGTCATTTTCACAGCTCCGTCCGCGGCGATATAACGAGAGTCTACTCTGATTGAAATTAGTTTTCACGAAAATTCTTGCAAATTTCAATTATTTTGTAACGAAGTTTACCATTGGCGAATTTGACTGACCCAGTAATTTAATTACGTCCGTCTAAAATCGAGAAAGATAAATTTCCCCGCGTGAGTAGAGTACCGGTTTCACTGCCTTTCGAATCGATAACGCTAATGCAATATTAATCCGTAGCCAACTCTGCGACCCAGTCGGATACAGATCTCCATTGGGAAATAATTACAATGGAATCCTGCGGTTAGCAGAAAAGGGACGTCAAAATAACGGGTTGTGGAACAACGGCGTAATTAATTTTATAACTCCCGTATTATCCATCTGTTGTGCTCGTAATGGTATTGTCTGCGAACGGTGTAACGTGTACACACTTTCAGTGAGTACCCTCGAAATTGATCGATCAATTTGACTTCGATGAAGGAGGATTCCCTTTGAAACACGAAACGTCTTTCGTTGAACAAACAAGATTGTGTTTGAGAGTGCAGAGGAACACATAGTCAATAAATGCAAATGCAACTTGCTTACTAATGTAATAACATGCAATTGCATTTAAGGGTGCATTTGCATTTATGTATTAGGTGCATAATTGCATTTATAAAAAAATTAAAGTCGCAGGGAAGTAGTGCTGCATAATAATTATTTAATTTTATAATTGAAAAATAAAGATACTCGGTCTTCATATATTTTTTTTAAATTATAAATAATTTTTAATCAAAGAAAACAATATACCTTCTCGGTACAATAAAATTTAAACGATTTTGAATTAAAATATGCAAAAGGGTGGCAAATTGATTTGATATTACTAATTTAATATATTTCGCTTTTATTATTGCAATATATACCTACAAGAGTTCTGAATCCACCCTTGTACAAACATGCATAGATAGGTTGTCAAACGAGTCACGGTCTCGTGCACGAGTTTCACGAGGCGATGATGCACCGCTCTCGACGCGGAATTAGGCTGAGGGGTGGAGGGATGATTTCCATAGGGATGTCTCCCATACGTATCCATCAAGCCAGCAGTGCAACCTTTGTGTCGCATTTCGGGCTTCCAGCAACCCCACGTTCACGGCTTCCGGTGCGTCAGAATTCCAACGACGCACCCCCTTTACGACCGACTAATGTGTTTATGCGTTTGCCCTTGCCATGGACTGCCATCGAATCACGTTTTGTTGTGCATACAGGGTGTTTCATGAGTTATGGACGTACTCCACAGACATGATTCTCCAAATTCTATTGTAAAATCATTTACCAACCAAATTTGTTGCAAAATTAATTAACATTCAATTGGAAATTTGATCATCATGGATCATTTTATTTTATTTTTAATAAAGTAACATAAAATAAATTGAAATGAAATTTTATCTTTGAAAAGAAATATATAGCCATAGATTTTTCGCGTAAAATAAAAAGTTTGATGTCCGTCGCGTTAACGAGGAATGTCGGTCATTGTGGATTCTCTGCATTCTTGGAATTATTTGGGAACACCAGCAAACAGTGCTTGTTGTCGTACGAATTCAACAATTCGCATTTTCCAAGGTATGCCAACTATGCAGTTCATTCCGTTGCTCTCTTTGCCCACTGTTCTTTTCACCGAAATCCTTCTCTCTCTCGTTCATCGACCCCCATTTATAAT